TTCAATCGTTCATAAGCTCTCGAATTACCTTTTTGCAAGCTTGAAACGAGCATCAAACGCGGTATTTCATAGCTAGAGAATCCTAAAGACTGTAAAACATGAATCTTGAAAGATTTGGAAGCAAAAAAGGCGGTTTCTTCAGTCATCCCGCATGAATTTCTCCAGTGAGAAGCAACCATTGGAGACTCATTTAATTCATTCGGAATCGGGATCGTGAATGATGCAAAGGGCTTGCAAAACCCAAGTGGGAAACAGGGTTCTTGCTGGGCTACTGAAACAGTACTACAAATTGGTCTTCTTGCATTGAGCAATGCCCTATTGAGTACACATCTAAACATGGCTAAAATTGAAGAATTCAAAATGCAAACCCAAAACTAACACTGACCTCGAACGTTAATTCACCAAAAAAACGTTAGTTCTCTTAGGATTGAATTGAATTTGATGATGTTGATGATAAACCCTACGCAGCTTTAAAGTCTCCGTACAGACGACAGACCCCCCAAGAAAATGAACACATATTTAAAGGAGCCCCATCAACTACTCTTATTTAGGAAATGGTTCCCCATAGTTTTTGATTCTACAAATCCACCACCTTAACTTTTAAAATTCTCTCAAAGTTGCCTAAACTCGTCCTCAGATTAATTTTGTATTATACTTTTCTTTTCACTAATGATTGTTATTATTTTTTATTTTAATCTACAGTTTTAAATGGTGGAAGATCTCATTACATAGAAGATCCAACCCATATATCAGTATTTATGTTTTACATGAGAAAATAGACTTATACAGCATCTTGATCGAAAGATAAAATGTGTGATAAAAGGACTAAACAGGGAAAAAAAAATATAGCTTTAGTTGAATTCGAATTAGTTGATGGTGACAAAAAAAAAAAAATAAAGGAGAAAAAAAAGTTGGTGGTGAAGGAAGGAAAACCAAAAATGGTGGTACAAGTACACAAACCTGAACTATCATATATGGGCAAAGGGTTTTTTTATACACATTTTATATCTGAAATATTATTAAAAAATATAAAAACATTATAATTTTTTTTTGAAAGTTTAAATTCATTATAAACTTAAATTGTTATGAAAATGATATTTGTTCACGACCAAATTCTAACTAAGAATTGCAAAAGACAAATGAAAAGATTGTTTTTTTCAATGTTGATCGGCAAATATATAAGAAATAAATGAAATTAAATAAATAGTGTACGGGATACCATCATACTGAGCATTTAAGCTTCTTTTTCATTTGCATTTGCACCTAAGTGAAAAATCAAAGGTTGAAAATACAAATAAATTAATTGCAGTAGTTAATCTGAAAAACGGGCCACAGAAAACAAAAAGGAAAGAGGACCCTTATTATTTCGGCCCATTAAGAAATGGGAAGCTGCCGTTGTCAAACCGCGGGAAAGCCCTTCGGTGGCGCGGGTTTTCAGTAACGGTAACTTTCGATCCCTAATTCCCTATATATACCCATCTGGCGGCAATAATCCATTCCTCCTCCTTCATCATCTCCATCGATTTTCCATTCATCACTGATGTTCTCTGTAAAGATCACAACTTTATTCCAAAATCCCAAATCCCATTATTGAAGAATCTTCAATAGTTCGCCCCATCAATTTTCCATTCATCACAAGTAATCTCTGCAAAGATCACATCTTTTCCTTAAAATCCCAGATCCAATTGTTGAAGAATCTTCCATAGTTCGCTCCATTGATTTTCCATTCATCACAAGTAATCTCAGTAAAGTTCACATCTTTTTCCCGAAATCCCAGATCCCGTTATTGAAGAATATTCAATAATTCGAGTTATAAACTATGAGTACTATGTTCAATCACCGACTTTACTCTGATCAGAGGATGCCCTTTTCATATCCTCCATATGGTTTCGACCACCCTTACTATCATGGATCCAATTCTCGAGGTGTTGTCAACAACAATATCAGAAACAGACGCTCTCAAGAATCTGTTGGCGACAATCGTTCTTTAGGGTTTAATGTCCGAATTGAGGATGAGGTTGCTATTGTTGATGCTGTTGGGAGGAGGCCGAGGCTCGAAACTACTGTTCTTCATGATGATGATGGAAGGAGGCAGAGGGCGGATAATTTGAATGAGGGATTTTCTGTTGTGGATGGGATTGCTCTGTTGGATGAATTACTGCGGATTAATGGTGGATCTGGAGAGAACAGAGTGACACAAGATAAGAAATTTTCGGCTGAATCAATCTGGCAGCATCTGAGTTGCAGAATTTATCAAACAAGCGGAGATCTGGATTCTGGGTTTTGTGTGGTTTGCCAGAGTGAATTCTTGGAAGCTGAGAAATTAGGGAAGCTTGATTGTGGGCATGAATTCCACGCAGATTGCATCCACCAGTGGCTGTTGCAGAAAAATGCTTGCCCCATCTGCAAACGTACAGCACTCGCTGAGTTAGAAAGATGAAATTTTTTGGGCATCACTTGATTAGTTTTAATCTATATTTTTTTTTGTGAGGGCGTAGTGCCACAATTGTAGACTTTTGTTTCTGTTTAATTTAGTACTTCATTCAATCTTTTTTGTTTTCAATATGCAGTACTTTGTTAATTTGTTTTACTGGAGCAAAAAAAAGTATCTGATGCAGGGGACTAAAGATGGTGAAACCCCTTTTTGTGCCACCAGCAAGTAAGTTTTTTCATTTGACTTGCCTTCTGATTCTGCCTTCTTTTTACGTAATCTATTATTCTTGTGAGCAATTGTTCTTTGGAATTGTTGAGGTTATGCTCATGACCTTGGTAAAAATGTAAAATTATGTCAAAGATGCTGATTTATTATTAATGTTGATTGTATGTAATGCCCATGTCCTGCTTTTGGGTGTGAAATTGCTTTAGATTTGGTTTCATGCTAAGTGTGTAATGAATAAACAGAACTAGAAGAAGTGGGCAGGGGGGTGGAATTTGATCGGTTGTATGTTGATTGTCTTTGTGCCTTGTTAATATTTGAGTATTTGACTGCTATTTTTTGTTGAAAACTGAAGCAAAGTTTCAGCAGGAATTGAAAAAAATCAAGGACTTCTCTGCCCTCTCTTTTGAACCGCCTTCATTTTATCATTGGTTGTAAAGTATGTCTACCAGAGTTGAACTTCGAAGTAGTCTACAACTGAACATGAGTAAAACAAAAGAAATGGATATGTTTAATCAGCGTTAACCTTCAATTGGAGATGATAAAAGTACTTCTTTTCACTTCATATGCTTAAAGGTTCAAACAGCTACTGTAACATAAGAAGATTGATTGAATGCGCCTTCACGATCTTTTATATACCTAGGAACAATAAATTTCAACAACTCATAATGTTTTGTATGTTAATTGCATTGTTTGTACTCTTTTTCTAGATCTTGATTTTACATGTTCTCTCTCAGAAAGTGATTGCAAGAGATTACTGCTTCTGTTCTACTCAGTAAGTGACCGCCTTTAACACTGCTTCTTCTGTTTCACTTGGTAAAAGTGACAATATTTCACTTAAGCACAGGATACTGTAATTGCAAACAAGTAGCAATAATGCATGAGTAGAATAATTAAAACTATACTTTACGGGATAATACACATGGCTTCATGAGTGAACAACTTTTGCCTGATTGTTGCAGTTCTTTGCTATTAAAGTGGTGAACAGGAATGCAAAACTAAATTTTTACTGACATTCTCTCCTCTACTTGATCTTAAGGTAAACACTTGTTATCTTTAGATTTCCTCTTCTTTTTTTTTTTCTTTTTTTCTCTTTTGGGCGGTGCTCCTGTATTTTAGCCCATTTAAAGTTGTGGTTCTGTTAATATTGTAGCCAATATCCCAGATGTCTGCAGAGACAATTAACAAGACAAATTGACTTACTAGGGAGACAGACAATCGGTGCTGGCAAAAAGAACGTTACTTACAATTGTTGTTAGTTATCGTACCTTGAGGTCCTTGACATCAATTCTGTTTATCATCTAATGTAGTTGCTGGAGGCATTCAGTTGAGGAAGCCAAAAACCTTTGTTGCAAACAATGCCCTGCTGATGAGACATTTGCTGTTATGATACAGAATGTGCTGCTTTTGAAGGTTTCATAATTACTACTTTGGACTTTGCATGTCAATTGTCAAAGTTAATTGGAGCAACCTCGCAAATTTATATACTTGCAAGATTACAGAATAATCCATCATATCTGTTGCTTTTTGTAGTGTATTATGTCAAACAGCATACCTTGGTAGCTCCTTGGTATCATTGACACAGTTTCATCTTAAATCAGTTAGGCTTAACAAATCCAAAGTTATGTTAACCTTACTTTACTCACAGCTAGAATTGTATGGCTTTGTGATTGAAAGTGGAGGCTTCGTTGAGATCAAGTTCTGTCAGAATCTGATAATGTGTTTTTCCGGTATCTGTATTTAGGTATATTTCAGTTTAGGGTGGAAGTTGTTTTCTGCAATACTGTACATGCAAGTGTTATGTTATGGTCTCTTTCTTATTGTATGAACCGTATTTAACATTAGCTCAGTAAATTTTCCAGTTATATTCCAAATTGTGAAAATGTGTAGGTTGATGTAAAAAATCAAAGCATGACCGTTGACCTTGCACATGACCTTATAATCATCATAAGGAGCCATATAGATTTGAAGCGGAAAAAAAATAAATAAAGGCAAAAATAATTGAAATAAGAGAGAGTAAACCCGTGAGAAGGTTCATAATGATACATGTTGAGGAATGAGGATTACGGAACCCAAAAAATTACTCCTCAATTATATATATAAATTAAATAACGTAAATGATGATTATACAGTATCTTTTGTGTGTTTGTAGTTAAATCTTCCCCATGTTTTTGTGCCTAGCTCAAGACAGTCAACCGCATTATACCATCTTTTACTCCATATGAAGCTGAGTTTGAGAAGTGCTTTTTAAGAAACTGAAAAGTGGCCAACCAATCATCCCAAAGCAATGGCTGAACTATTTGTTCCCAAGATCATAGATCGATTGGGGGATATTGCCCTGCAGCAGCTTCAGAATAGTGTAAACCTTGTTCATGGAGTCGAAGAAGAGGACATCAATGGTAAGCTCGAATACGTGTACTTGTTGAATATTCCTAGTGGACTATTCCTAGTGGACTTGTTGATTCTGTTGAGTTTGTGAATATTCCTAGTGGACTTGTTGATTCTGTTGAGTTTAAGCGGCCAATGACGACTTCCATCCTTGATGAATCAAATGTACACGGTTGAGAATTTGATAAAATTTCTTTGCTTGAGCACTTGTTAATGCCTGACACCAAGTCCATTACTGGTAAAGAATCTGAAAATGAAGAAGTCTTTAAAGTTATTTCTATAGTAGGTGCTGGGGGTAGTGGAAAGACTACACTAGCTCAATTTCTTTACAATGATGACAAAGTGAAAAAAACATTTTGAACTGCAAAGATGGGTGTGTGTATCAGATCCTTTTGATGAGAAAAGGATTGCACAAGCTCTTGTTGAAAACCCGGAAGTGAGATTCCTCATTGTCCTTGATGATGTTTGGACTGAGGAATACTCAGGAAGTGGAAACCACTTAGAGACTCATTCAAGGGCGCTGCTCTGGGAAGTATGATCTTGGTGACAACGAGGAGTGAAAGAGTGGCAAGAGCAGTAGGCACCAATTACATGCATCGGTTAAGTTTGCTGTCAAACTCATATTGTTGGTTGATCATCAAACGAATAGCATTTTTCGAAAAACCTGAGTTGAGTAGGAGAGTAGAAAAGATAGGGGAAAAAATTGCACTAAAGTGCAAGGGATTGCCACTTGCTGCCAAGATTATGGGATGCCTTCTACAATTTAAAGATACAGTAGAAGAGTGGCAAGAAGTTTCAGAGAATGAGATATGGAAAATGAAAGAAGCAGCTATGGATCTTTTCCCTCATTTCTATCTAAGTTATAACGAACTATCCCCACAATTAAAACAATGCTTCTTATATAGTGTGGTCTTTCCAAAAGATACTAAGATAGTTGTTGGTACATTAATAAGATTGTGGATGGCTCAAGGTTATCTTGGATGTCCAAGTCGCGGAGGTGATTACCAGATGGAAAAGAGGGGGTCCAAGTACTTCAAGAATTTGGCAATGCGGTTTCTTCTTTCAAGATTTAGAACAATCGTTTGCAGATGAAAATGTGGCAGGCTGCACGACATAGTCCACGATTTTGCACAGTTTTTGGTGCATTTGACGAGGTAGATAACTCAATGGCAGCAACTTACAGAGGATCTTTATGCAGAGAAAGACATCGTCATGTGAGAATTCCTGGTGTGACTAAATCAACAAATTCTTCATCTGTTCGCGACTTTGGGAAAGTGAGAGTCTGTTTCTCTCTTGTGAAGGTGAACTTCCGCGAGATTTGTGTAGTAATTTGAGATCTGTGAGGTCCTTAACATTGTCATCTTGTGGATTACAACATTTACCAAAGGAGATTGGAAATTTGATTCATCTGCGGTTCTTGGATGTGAGTGACAATGAGTTCATGGAATTGCCAGAAACATTATGTCATTTACATTATTTGGAATCTCTGGATATTGATTTGTGCCACAACCTTAGGCGCCTTCCTCAACGGATTGGAGACCTTGTCCACCTGAGACACCTCTTCAATGATTACACAGGACAACTGGGAATCCCACAAGGGGTTGGAAAGTTACTAAACTTTGTTCTTTGACAAGATTTAGTACTAATGGTAAATCGTCGTCCAACTCCATTGCATTGTTGAAATACTTGAACCAACTTGAAGACTTAGGGATCGATGTGTCTGGCCATGTTAATTTTGAGGATGCTGAACTCCGGAACAGGCTGCGTATACATTTTTAAGGAGAAAGGCTTTGATACAGAAAATGGACGTTCGATCACCATGATAGAACCACCCCCAAACCTAAAAGTACTTTGGTTTTACTACTATCCTACAACTCAATTACCCAAGTGGGTTGTGTCCAAACCTCTCATCAACAACTTGAGCAGTTTGCACAATTGTTTTCAGCTGAAATGATTTCATCATTGCCTGCTTTAGGGAAGCCGTCATCTCCCCAATTTCTACGGATTGAAAGACTTACAAACCTGAAGCATATATTATAGGCCATGAATTCTACGGAATACCTGATGTGGAGGTAGAATACCACCATGAAGACACTAATGAAGTTGTAACAAAATTATAAGAAGTAGAAGAAGAAGAAGAAGTGAATCAAGACCAACTTGGTGTAACAAAATTTAGAATGAGAGTGAAGAATATAGCCCAAGACGTATTAAATGTCCTGAATTAATAGAGCCCAAGCTTTCAGACTGGAGAAACCCAAAATCCAATAAACCCAAAGTCCATATATTTTCAACTGAATTTTTTTTTCTCAAAACCTCCTTAAACCCCCCACTTCCCAGTCCACCGCACACCCGCTCCTCCACCGCCATGTTCCTCCGCCGGAGATTTCTGCTCCTCCTACATCGCGGCTGCGCAACCCATTCAACTACCCCAACTAACCCATCAATCAAAACCACTTCTTCCATCTATTCCACTCAGAATACCACCATTGAAGAAAGCAACATCAACGATTCCTTATCCAGTTCCAACTGCAATGATCCCTTTGAAGCTCACCCATCATTTCACCATCTATCCACCATTACATCCAAATCCCAACTCCTGAAATCCTACACTGTTACTCCCCCAATCCATCCGTGGCCTAAAAACCTCTCCCACAAACGCTTAATCTCTATTATCTCCCGCCAGCAAGACATTAATCTTGCCGTCCAAATTTTCCACCACGCTGGGAAGTTTCATCCTAATTTTTCCCATAATCACCTCACTTACCAGTTCATCATCCAGAAGCTTTCCCGCAACAGGGCTTTTCCAGAAATGGAGACTCTTTTGGATGAACTTAAGGGGTCCCGGATCGTTTGTTCTGAGAAGATGTTTAGTTCTGTCATCAGGACTTATGGTATTGCCAGCAAGCCTAAGGAAGCCCTTAGGCTGTTTCTGAGGATGGATGAGTTTTCGGGCGTAAAAAGGTCGGTTAAATCGTTTAACTCGTTGTTGAATGCTTTGGTTGTGAATAAGTCTTATGATTTGGCGTGTGGTTTGTTTAAAACATCTAGAGAAAAGTTCGGTATTACACCGAATTTGATTAGTTGTAATATTTTGATCAAGGCATTGTGTAACAAAAATAATATTAGTGGTGCTATTAAAATTTTAGATGAAATGCCAGTCATGGGGATCGTTCCAAATGTGGTGAGCTATACTACTGTTCTACGAGGATATGCTGTGAGGGGTGACATGGAAAGTGCCAAGAGAATGTTTGATGAGATTCGAGATCATGGTTGGTTGCCTGATGTGACTAGCTATACCATTTTGATAGACGGGTTTTGCAGGAAAGAACGGTTGGTAGATGCTGTCAAGGTGATGGATGATATGGAGGAGAATGGAGTTAAACCAAATGAAGTCACTTATGGAGTGATGATTGAGGCATTTTGCAAGGAAAAGAAGTCTGGGGAGGCAGTGAATTTGCTGAATGATATGGTTGATAAGCGATATGTTCCAAGTTCAACTCTTTCTTGTAAATTGATTGATGTGTTATGTGAAGAAGGTAAGGTTGAGGAGGCGTGCAAATTATGGAAGAAATTGTTGATTAAAAACGTTACTCCAGATAATGCTGTTTTTACTACACTTATTTACTGGTTATGTAAGGCCGGGAAGGTCTTAGAAGCAAGGAAATTATTTGACGAGCTAGACAGAGGATCGGTTCCTAGTGAATTGGTTTATAATACACTTATTGCTGGAATGTGTGAAAGTGGGGAACTTTCTGAAGCTGGGAGGTTGTGGGATGACATGGTGGAGAAGAAATTGAGTCCTAATGCTTTTACTTATAACATGTTGATTAAGGGGTTTTGTAAAGCTGGCAAAGCAAAGGAAGGAATTAGAATTTTGGAAGAGATGTTGGAGAAGAACTGTTCACCTAACAAAGCCACATTTTCTATCTTAGTAGAAGGTTTATGTGTTTCAGGATGTGAATCAGAAGTTTCCAGAGTGCTTTCCATGGCTGTTTCGTGTGGACAAGGAGTAGAAGTTGTGCCTTGAAAGGTGTTAGGTTTACGACGTTGAACCTACTATTTCCTATCAGATACTATGGATTGTAGTAGTAGCCTTTTATGCTTCCTTGGTTTTCTTCACTATATTGTGCATTCAAAAATTTTGTTGGTGCTGTAGCCGGTGCCACTTCAGTTGTGTGTTCAATGAATTGGCGTAGCATTGGTTGAATAGCCCACCTGATGGGGAGAACCTGGTTCATCTGAGAAATATATTCCTGTGACCTTGGTGCAGAGATGATGCCAGTGAAAAGGCTGCAAATTCGCAGGTGTGTGGTATTGGAGTATCCAAGTGTGTTACATTACTGTGATGTACACTAGTATTTAGATTCCAATCCGACTCATTTTAGAGGTTTACTCTCACTTTCCTGCTTTCATTTTAGAGTTTAACAGAAGTAAAACAAGCAGCTGCAAAATACAGTAACATTTAGCATCATGATGATGGGTTCGATTCTCGTGATTTAACTCAGCTAGTTAAACACTAAGTCAACAAATCAAACATCCACTTAGTCTAATATCAATATCCACTGCAATACTCTCTAACAAAGCTACGTCTTACCCCCCTCTTTAAATTATGTTGTTTTTTTGATTGGGCTGTATGGACTGAAAATGTTGCCATTGTTTCAGGTTGCAGAAATGAAATTTTTCTTGTTCACATCAGGTCAAGGTGATGCTCATTAATTGGTCATAGTTCATACGTAAATGCTATATTTTCCAGAATTGAGCCGCTTAAAAATGCTACGAATTTGTTGCTTTTACGATGGTTCGACACCTGAGATTTCGCATCACAGGGATTGGCTGCCTGTGAACAATACGTAATAGAAGTTTTGAAAAGAAGGAGCCAAAGAAAAGAGAGCAAAGGAAGAAAAACAAATAATGATTGCTGGATTTCCAACTTTTCCATTATGATGAATTGGGAAAAGAAGGAAACTGGGAAGGAGGGCATCAGGTTAGATTTCGAGCATATGTTCCAAACTGTGCTTTTCATTGGTGAAATAGATCATTCGTTTGGAAACTTGATGATGAGATTACCCTAGCGTATGAGGAATTAGACCATATGAATATGATGTTCATGAATAGCTTGTGTGGAAATGAAGAAACAAGCATGTTTAGATTCTTAAGTGCGGATTTTACTCTTCTATTTGCAGGGTATGTCTCCTGCAATTAGCTGCCCTGGTACCTTGCTATGTCTCCTGCAATTAGCTTCCCTGGTACCTTGCAACCAAGGTATTTATGCTTTTCCTGATTGCTTCGGATAAAAAAGAATGTGGGCATTAATCTCTACAAGGATAAATACATCGTGTATGGAAGAGTAGGACAATTAACAACTCCACACTCACTAAAATTTGAGCATTTATATTACAGGTCACCGCAGCTCTAATTTGGTTATGGGGAGTGACTAGTAACTACTCTGCTTTTTTATCTCTGATGACATGGAAGCAAATGCATAGGAAACATAGATCTTAAGGGCTGATAGAGAAAGGAGATACAAAATTTATTGCGTCAGACATTCATTCATTACCTTCATCACAAACATTGTTTTTGGTGGATTTAGGTGAGAACTGTTGTTTTGATGTTACAGTTGGGATCCTTAATTGAATGCTGTTATTATCTTCATAAATTACAAATTGCTTTTAAGGTTGTTTTCAGTAGGCAATTGAAGATACTCGTTCAAATGGAGAACGAAGGTCTGCTTTGACTATGATCTGTAGTTGTCCTTTGTTAATATCTTCAGTTTCTGTATGTAAGAATGAAATTTGGAAATGATACAATGAACATCCGTATTCACTATTCAGCACTTGGCGCACTTTAACTTATTAGTATTACTCCACTTTTTTCTTGTCAAATCAGGCTCAAAATCCGTAATCCATTTGTGAAGTTCTTTTGTCTGAGTTTTTTGAATTCTTCCACCTGGTGTTTAGTTACTGTATACACAATATCTGACTAAAGCTTAGCAGTAACAGAAAATGTTGTTTGGGGGTTTAGTTTACTTCAATCTCCTTGTAGAGAAAGCTCATCCCCCAGACACACAGTGCAGGCTAGATAACATAAGCCATAAGCCTATGTCTATATGAACCAGTCCTCGTCTTCCCTTGTTTGCGTGTATACATCATATTAAGCAAAAACTTTTAACAATATTGACGTTACTAGATGTCGTAACTTGAAGATTAGAAATTCAACTAGGGGATAGGAACTGGAAAAATGAGATCTTAAAATGTAGTGATAAACAAGTAGAAAGCTTCAGAACGGAGCAGATGTATCATTTCCACTGCTTCAGTGATAAACCTTCAGATATTCACACCTAGAAAACCAACATAAATCCATCAAAAGTTCACAAAAGCCTTTAGGGTTAATACTCAACCAGCCCTAAACGTCAATGATACTAATTTGGGTATGTGGTGGAAAAGACCAAGTAAGGGTATAAGTTGAAGAACCAAAAGAGGTTATATATACCAGTTTGAAGTTTGAATCAAAGCTATATAGGCTACATTATACATACATTACGCACTTGCAAATGGAGATATTTTCATGAATTTCTAGGAGCTCTTCTATTCTACTAACTGCACATCTTAGATTCTAGCGAAGTGGAAGTTATATATTGATATTGTTGTATTACATCATATCAGAAGTACATAGACAATCTGTTATCTACAGAAAGACTTGTGTCTTACGGTTCAGTATCCAATCCATCATGCAACCAGTTTCTCATTAAAACAAAAGCCGTCTCTGCATCTTCATCTTCTTCAGGAGACTCAGGTCTGTGGGCGAAAGCATGACCTCTTCCCTCGAACACAACAACTTTGGACTGCTCAATTTGTTTTTCGGCATCTTTTAAAGTGTTTATTGGACACAGTGGGTCATTGTCTCCGGCAATGAACAACACTGGTACCTTTACATTAGTTGCTAGTGAGGTGTTGATTCTTGTTCCATAGAATGACACGCCAACCCCAAAGCATCCTCCCTGGTCTTGCGCCAGAATATCAATCACTCGGCCACCCCCAAAACAGAATCCGATAATGCCTAGCTTCTTTGATATTCCGGCAGCAAGAAACTCATTGATCATCCAATTTGTAGAAGCAAATATGTCATTGGCTACTCGTTCTTGACTATGTCTGGCGCGCCATTCTTCATAAAGAGATTTTGGCTTATCTTTCGTCCATGGATCCCCACGAAAAAGGTCTGGAACCAGAACACTGCAGAAGGTTTTCAAAAGCATAAATGAAAGGAGTCCATAGCAGTAGAATTGGATCTTTCCTATGATTAAAAGCTAGCTGCATTCATATATTTCAACAACTACAATGAATCAGTGCCCTCAACATCACATAAGCTTAAGATGGAAACAAGACATTTTGAAACTGAGAAGCCTTACTTGTAACCATTGCAAGCGACACGATAAGCAAAGTCTCTTGTGGCTGAATCTTCAAAACCAAATACGTCCGACAAGAGCAAAATCCCAGTGCCATTGTTGTTCTTCACTGGCTTCAGCAGATAAGCATAGATTTCATAATCTCCTTCCCCTCCAATCAAGACCTCCACTCCATTCACAAGTTCGCAAGCCTCGTCATCCTCCACGGCATCTACCACTTTCAACTGACTAGCAACAGCCAATGTTCTTCTCTTCTGTTTCCTCTTCTTGGAAACCAAGAAAGATCTCCAACAACTAATTCTACAGCTTCCCTGGATAATAACTGAAGCATCACAGTCAGAAGTTGCCTTCTGATTCCAATTACAATTAGCACAACAGAAACTAAACATTTCAGGATCGGTGATTCATGGGTTTTCTTTTTATTCGCAGATTCTTCCATCATTTCACTTTTGTTTTGAAATTAATCCTCAATTTAGAATTCAATTTGTATTCCATCACACACTAAGAAAGCAGTTCCAATTCCTAATCCTGTAAAGCAGAAATTCGACTCCAAAACAAATTCAAAGCATTATGTTAAAATATCGAGTCATAGAGTAACACAAAATCAGCAACAACAACAAGAAGAAGAAGGCAGGGGAAGCCATTTTTAAAGTAACAATTAGCCATGGGAAGCATTTAAGGAATGAAAACGTACAGATTTAATAGGGGCAGCTGATGCAAATCCTGAGAATCCCTGAAGTGATATTGTCTGGAAGAAGCAGTTACTGCTACATTGAATTTTTGGATGAGAAGAGAGCATCAATGGAGTAGAACAAGAAGATATCGACCACCCCATTATTTGCAGCGCAATTGTATAGTTTGATACGTCCAAAAGTGGCTAAAAGGGAAACATTTCTTCCGAAAAATGCTTGGAAATATCTCCAGGATATGGTGGGGGATTGATAATTAATGGTTATGGTCTTTTGTCCTTTTCTCCTGTTCTCCAACTTTTTAATCTTTTTGTGATAAATTTCTTTTGCATTGCAAATACTCATAGTATCGCCTTCATCTCATAGGACATGTTTGATAACTCAATTTGATACTTAAGGCTCGTTTGATAAACTCATTGAGCACTTTAACTTAATGTATTAAATGTTTAGATTAGTACGGTATGATACCACAATTTTATAATAACTTAATTGATTAAGAACTTAACTAATTAAAGATTTAAATTTAAGTGTGTTTGATAACTCAAAGTAGGATGTCTTAATAAATCAAATATGAAATGCTAGTACAAATGTGAGTATAAAAATAAGAGATAGGCCTTTCGCTTATGTCTGAACTGAATTCTTGAAACGGATTTTTTTATCTTATTTATTTACTTTTATGTTTATATTTTTTATGTTTTATCTTGAAACACTGTTATTAATCCTGGTATTTATTTATAAATTAAAAATTACATAAACTAATTTTTATTTAATATATATTTATTTTAAAAAAAATTAAAATACTAATAAAGTCCATGATATATATATATATATATACCATAAAGATATGATATTTTCTGATAATGATAAAGATATAATATTATTACTAACTAGAAAAATAATTACATTAAATTGAAATATTTCTATTACATAATTCAATAATTATACTATTATTTTTATTATCATAGTTTCATATACATCAATTATTTTTTTAAATAAAATTATAAGTCGAGACACTTTAAATTTCAGTGTTCAGACTTCAGATTTCAGATTTCAGATATATATTTTTCAAAAAGTTATTACAATTTTATTGATTATCATTTTACATATTGTTTAACAAAATATTTTATTTAGCCACATAAAAATTAGACACTTTATCAAAATGATCTTTTAAGGAATAAAAAATAAATTATTAATATTTCCTATAAAATTTTAGATGGATGAATAGATTAAAAAATAGATTTATAGTTTTTAAAATTAAAAAAATTAAACTTCATTAAATAACTTGTGGCATTAACATAGTGGTTATAAATAAATTTAACACTCAAAAACTCATGTCATATTAAATAAAATTTAAACTTTATTCATCTAGTTCAAAATTCTAAAACCTTTGTTAGATTATAAATTCAATCGTACAAACACACACACATGTGTACTAGTAGATGATGAATTTTTGCTCGTATAGTTACAATTGAGCATATGTTTTAGAGATTTTCAATGTGGAGTTTATAGGTTAAAAAAATATTTTTATAACATTTAAGTATATTTTCAACATGTCACCAAACAAAAAAAAGTATTATACTCTTCATAATCATATTCTAAGGAGTCAAAATGGAAAGTAAATATTAATTTTTTTTCATAATTAAAATTCTAGAAATGTTAATTTTACTTTTCTCAACTTTCCAAACAACCAAAGGCCAAGAGTTTCTAGTTTAAGAAAAGAATCCGATTTATTTCTTTTGAATTGACGGTGGCTATTAATTCCAATGCAGTTGATTAATTCCTATGCTTTTGGGATTAAATGGTCTAAATTGATGCATTGTCCAATAATGAATCCAATATTTTTTTGACTTAATGGTCCAAATTGATTACAAATGCATTTAGAATTTTCAGTCAAAAAAAAATCTTATGCATTTGTTTTGGTTTGGCATGACTAATAATAGCAGTAATGGATTGAGTATTTTCAGTCAAAAAAAGAATCCAAATGTTTTTTTCAGTAAAGACATTGTGCTTCTTGATATTAGACCCAGGTTAAATTTACTTATATTTGAGAAAAGAAAATTACCGGTCCAATAAGGAATCTTATGCTTTTTTCATTAGTACCAATAAAAGAAGGAATCTAATTCATTTATTTTTAATTGACGGTAGCTATAAATTCCAACCCATTTAGTATTGTTGGTACAATAAGCGATCTAATACTTTTCAGTCCAAGAAAATGAATCATATTCATTTCCTTGATTATTGGTCAATTTACACACTTTTCTCTATAAAAGAATCTAATTACTTTATTCCAATTTGCATTTACTTCTCCTCCTATTCTATACCTTCAAACATTCTCAACAATATAAATGGCTTTTAAAAAGAGGCAATTGTACTAGGGTTGAAGATGTATTTCTTGTTAATTGTTACATTCATATTTCTGAAAATCTAATTACATCAAACAAACAGAAAGCATGAACATTTTGGGAGAGAGTAAGTGTCGGAATTATGTGCACAAAAAGAATGATATGGAAGAAAGGAGTTTTAGATCATGTGAATCCGCATGCGTATTATTGAAGGTATTTATAAGAAGTTTAGTGGATGCTTAGAGCAGATTGAATATGTCAACCCTAGTGGGACATAACTCGATCGAGTGAGTTTGTAATTTTTATTTTTTATAGATTTTATTTCGATTTTAATTTTAGTGGTGCTATTATTGTGGTGATATATTTGAATGTCTAGCTTTATTTCGATGTTCTTTTGTAGATGAAACAAGCCGAAGAGTTATTTATTCAAACAACTAAATATAAAAACTGGTTCAAGTTTGGTCTTGTATTTGATTTGTTACAAAACTTTGGCAAATTTGATGTCCCCCAACCAAAATATGGTACTCGGGAGTTTACTATAATCAACGCCTATGGTACTCGGGAATTTGAAAATCTTAATCTCAAACAACCAACACTTGAGTCTCCAATGTTGTCACCTTTTAATTCTGAACAAAGCTACGATAGTGGTAACCGAAGTGGACCATCTTCTCAATGCTCGATCGGAGTGGAGAAAGTTAAACTGAAGAAGAAAATGGAAAACCATTTGAATAAGGTATTTAGTACTTTGAATGCAAAAATTGATGTTATGCTTGATTTTTTGAAGACAACAGATGAGTGCCAAAACCTAGAAAAAACAATTTGACTAAAAAAAAAAAAAAGACACACGAGGACAAAGTGCTGATGATAAACCTAAATGCTATTCCGAATGAATCGGTTCGTTAATATTGGGAGAGAAAATAGCTCTAAATTATACAAGAAAGGGAATTTCAAGAACAACAATCTCAAGGACAATCTTCATCTAACTGGGACAGTTTGGAACATCATTAACGATGGACAATTTGGATTTCTCAATGATATCGAAAATGTCGGAGGCAATTTGAATAATTATCATGGTAGTAATGATAAATTAATTTTTGAAATTGTCTACTTACCATTTGTATTAATGTTTAGTTTCCTACTCGCTGTTGTTATTTTCGTAGTATTTTTATGTGTGATTTTTAATGATGTATTTAATTTTTAATCCCTATTATGTAATATTAAGTTTATGGTCACATTAACGTGTTCGTTTTGATTGTTTGTAGTATTTCCTTTATGTGAGAATATTGGTATTTAATATTTTATAATTTTACATATCAGTTATGTATTTTTAATCCATGTTGTAATATATATATATATATATATATATATATAGAATCTATAAATTCAATGGCTGTAAATCAGATAAGAAGAAGATAGGGAAGATAGTATAAAAAGCAAAAACGGCCAGTAGTATGATGAAATTTAAAATGATGGCTACTATTCTGATAAATAGTTTTTCAAAATTCTATAAATATGTTTCACCATCACTAAAAATTCTTGCACCAAACATTCAAACATTGTATTTTTTTAGTCAAAGAAAAAATGATTTACACACCAGAGGAAGATGATCACCTCTGTAAAACGTATATACAGATTTCGAAAGATGAAGGTGAGACCTTTCAGGAACGAGTAGAGGAAATGTATAATGCTTCAAAACCTCCAGTTTGGATAACACATAGTAAAAACATCAATGCAAGTGCGGTGGAAGTCAATCGAAATAGCAATTCGGGTGTTAATTGCTTGCAAGAAGCCGGTCGAGTACTTACGTCCCTGTGATATCTCATCACTAGATGCGGTTAGTACTTACTAAATTTTCTATATTGTATATGCTATACATTTAATAGTAAATGAATTTGTAAACATGTATGTGTTGGAATGCAGATGAATCGTGCAAAAGCGTTGATGAAGGACACTCAAGGATTTCCAACAACTTTGATCATGTTTGATCAAGGATTTCCAACCCAAATCTAAAAATGGGTTCAAGTTTGATCATGTTTGGGACACTCAAGGATTTCCAACAACTTTAATTCTAAATAAAAATTATTCTAAATCCATTAAGGATTTTAAATAATTTATGAATGGTTGACTTTATCAACCGAGTTTATCGTTATTGTCTTATTAGTATTTGGTTTTGTGAGTTTAAGCGAATTAATATTTTAATTTTTTCTTTATTGTATAATTTAAGTTTATAAATAATCTTTGTAGTATTTCTTTATGTGATTATATTAATAATAATATTTATTTTATGATTTATAATAAATCGGGCCACGATTTTTTAGTCCCTGTTAAATACACATACATATAACTATTAAGACATAAATTCTCATTAAAATGATAAATTATGATTATTAATTTTTAGTTCTACTAATTAAACATTAATCAAAAACAAAATAGATATAATTAAATTATAATAATAAACTAAGAACTATATAACTAGGCCCAAAATAACCCAAATAAAAAAGTTAAATACAGTTCAAAATGCTTCAAATTGACTCAAAGAAAAAAAAAAGAGCCTCAAAAAAACCTAGATTCAGCCCAACAATTCAGTAAAAATTAAAAAAAAAAATCATCCGCTTTAAAGCGGGTGAATAGTGCTCCACCAGATTTGAAGGGAGATGGAGCAAGGCAGAGGGGAGTGGAGCGCGTTGAAACTCCCGCTCCGCCAAATTCAACGCATATGCTCAGTTTAGCGGACACTTGGAGATGCTCTTAGATATTGGTTTGAAATCTCTTACAGGCAGAGACTAACATAAAAGTTTTTGATAATTAATCTCATCCTTTGAGGTTTTTTTTTAAAAAAATATCTATGATTCAGTGAGGGATTCAATCATTTTGGCTAAAATTCTTCCAAGACTGCTTGATAAAATTCTTCCAAAGCACAAACAAAAGGTCTTTTTATTTGCTTACAAATTGTCAAATTTAGTTTAGATTTGCTTACAAAGTGTCAAATTCAGTTCAGCGATAGCTCTTTTTTAAGTAGTACTAGGGGTGGTACTGCACTATGTGCAGCCTAAGGTGAGTAGTAGCCCGGTAAGGTACCAGGCTGCAGTTAGATTGAAATGAAAAACCAGATTCATGTATTCGTTAATGAATCCTGAAAGAATTGAGATGATCACAGCCTTGATTTTTTACTTGAACCGTGATAGAATTCACAATATTGAAATAATTACATAGATTATCCAAATTATTCATGTCTGCCAACATGCATCAATTATTCATCATTGTACTGAAACACAATACTGGTAATGACAAAATATAGAACTGAGAGTGAACATAGTTGAAGTTTAAAATTACTGAAATTTGGAAATGAAAGGTAGACTCTGTTTGTTTCAATACCAACTCTAATACAAAATATTTTTGAGTGACTCCATTTGGACTTTGGAAATGAACATGGAAGTGTCTCCATAGAAGACCTTAATAATGACTCAAGTATCTAATCAAAAGTGCAAGCAAACATATCAGTTGTACACCATTACAGTCATCAATGGAGCCACAAAAACTAAAATTTGAGGATTGTGCATAATGACGTCTGCAACATTAATTACATCATCATACAAAAATACAATCATAATGCTTTGCCTTGATCGTGCTGGGTCTCTCAAGTCTAGCCTGAATGAAATACGAGTAACCTTCATTAACAAGCCCAACGTGATACACGCCAGAAGCAAACCAAGACGGGTAACACCATTGGGTGGAAAACCATTTTATTTTATTTTCTAAAACATATCCAACGCTTCATTAGCCATTTCGTTTTGCGTAAGATTACATATCACAACATTCCAAGAGACAATATTCTTTTTTGGAAGTTTATAGGCTAGAATCTGATGAAGTTACCATCACCCTTCTCTATGTTCTATTATCTTATATTTTTCCGTTGGTATTGCTTCACTTGATTGTCGTAAATACTCTTTCTCTCGGCTGTTTCGCCATCTCTTATCAGGGTTTCTTTTGCGCTAATCTAGACAAATCAATCTTCTACTTCCCCCCTCAACCTCGCCCTATAGGAGCAATAAATAATGAAACAATTAGAGTATTAAGTCTCTGCGGACATCAATAAATTCAAGTATACATAGACATGAAAACTTAGAACTTCTTGATTTGAAAAACACAATCCTGGAACATTTAAGTAAGAAAAAATTATTCTCTAGAATAGATTTAGTGGAATAAGTGAGTTAACTTCTTTAAAACTTAGATTCAAATAGTTAGCATGCAACTTACAAAAGAATCAAATGTATCATTTCCCAACTATCCCCACAATCGCAAGGCCCGCAACAACGCAGCAACCAAAACAAATGTATTGAAGATCATACAGATTAAAGGATCAATCTTTATCGAATCTGTGTACCATAGTTTTTCAACATGGTAAAGTATATATGGCACATAAGTCGGAGTGATTCCAGATTCTTTTGTTGCATTTGAGGGAAAGAACCATCTTAGATTAATGCACAAAGTCAAGTCAGAATTCAATTTACATAAGGAATTGATGAAAGTACCATAATAGTAGTAGACAGATAGGTGAATAACACCCGAATATCTATGGAGGCTATTTGTACAACATCTAGGAAATATTAGAAATTCACAACAAATTCAAATTCGAAAAGTGATAAAATTTAAAATTTTCTTTAACTTAGTTGGGTAAGCAGGAATCTGTTCAAGTATATATAATTGTATTGAAGTCGTTCGGGCAAAAACAAAAGCATTTTAAGCACATTTTGTGAGCTCAATTGTATCCTTTCCTAAGTTTTCAAGTTATGAGTATAAAAGAACTCTCAAATTATTCTAATTTTGAAGAAGAAGTTTAACACTTGAATTATATTGTCAACACAACTCGATCACCTGAAGTACTTGTATTTTGTATTAACATACCCACCCGCCATGTTACTGATGCTACCACCAATCTACAACATTCATGCGTATCCCCTAATGGAGCTTTAATAAATCAGTTATTGAATTCGACCCCAACAGCAAATCAAATTAAATCCTTGATATTAATTGAAACCATACCCGACCTTCCTCATCTTTTGCTTCTTTTTTTCAAAAAATTCCCACTCAACTTACTCTTTATAGAGTGTAGACTATTTTCCGGTGCGATGGTGCTGGGGAGCATAAAGAGTTCCCGAATGTGGGCTAATTAAATACAACAAATGGGAAAAATTTGGCTCATGAATTTAGCCGTTCCATGTGCCTCTTTTTGAGAAAAAGACTGCAACGCAAGAAAGGAAGTAGGAGTGGAATCCGCCAGGGCAATAGGACACGTGTAAAATTTTCAACCGGTGATCGTACCTAATCGGAAGAGGGCTTCCGCAGACGAACTCTCAAATTTATGCCGGTTAGATAAACCGTAGATCTCTTGAACGGAAAAGATAGGACGAAACTAATGGACTGGTTTCATGAATGGGGTATTGAGTTGAGCTACTGCAAAGAAACGAAGACGGAGATCGGAGAAGGCAGCCAAACCGAAAGAGACAGTGGAAGCCGCAATCTGTAACCCAAGTCCCCAATCTAGAGCCGACACATATTGGGGGGAGTGACCGGCCACCGTACCTAAACGGGAGCAGTCCCGGTCCAACTCCCCCATTGATACATATAGATTTACAAGAGATGACTACAATTTAGTGAGATTTATTAGAGGGGACTATAATTTAGTGCAAGAAATTAGTCATGGTTATTGAGATTCATTCGAACTACTTGCAATTCAGTGAGATAGCTACAATTTATGAAAATTCTTTTTGAAATGCTTAAATTCCGTGAAAAGAACTAGTCAATGTTATCGAAATTCACCCAGGATGTTTATAATTCGATGAGAGGGTTAGTCAATATTAATTCGCTCGAGGTAACTATAATTTAGTGAGTGTAGTTAATAATTGGTTAATTAAAATCCAGCAAAATTATAATTAAAAAATTCCTTTATAGGATCAATTTAAATCTCATTTAAAACTGTAACAAAAAAAAAAGAATTAAAGCATTCAAGAAATAAATCTGGGATAGTAGTTTCCTGCGGAAAATTAAGTGCTTGTTTGGATAACGTTTTGTTTTAGTTTTTTTATTTGGATTTGATTTTGAAAGTATTATAGTATACTGACCATTTATGAAATTAAAATAATTCAATAACCAAAATGAAGATTTTGCAATAGTGTAATGACCAAACACAAGACCTTACAATACTTCAGTGACCAAACACAACACTTTACAATAGTTTAGTGACCAAACGCAATAAAGACTATGCAATAGTTCAGTGACTAAAATGAAGAATTTACAATAGTATAATGACCAAACGCAATATGTTAAAAGGTAAATTAAAAAATTATTTGGATAATATATTGAAATTTGTGTTTAAGAGTTAAAATGAGACAAAAAGTAAAATAAGTAGTGGGGCAAACAAGGCCTAAATCCTACTCAATGTTATGATATTTATATGTCTGCTTTACATTTTGGACTGGTAAAATGCGGTGACAGATCACCTTTTTCTGTAAAAGCCCAATAATATCACTGGGAACTTACAAAAAAATTTCACTTCTATTTAATACCCCAATTCCTCGGCCCATTAACCCAAGCCCATTTCCCTGTCACCCCTAGGTTTTCTGGGAGAAACCATATATATAAACTCTATCGCAGCTGATATATTAAAGTTAGCCTCCCTTCCTCTCTATCATAAACCCTAACCACAGAGAGAGAGAGAGAGTGAACAGAGTTTAGCAATGGCGGCAAAGCAGAAGAAGGTGAGCAGGAATCCAGACCTCATCCGTGGTGTCGGGAAGTTTTCCCGATCCAAAATGTACCACAAGCGTGGTTTGTGGGCCATCAAGACCAAGAACGGCGGCGCTCTGCCCGTCCACGCTAAGAAGCCCGCCGACGAGCCCATGCCTTCCGCCGCCGTCAAGGCCACCAAGTTCTACCCGGCCGATGATGTCAAGAAGCCGCTCGCTAACAAGCGCAAGCCCAAGCCCACCAAGCTTAGGTCTTTTTCTCTTTGCTTTGGTTTCATTTCCGGTTGATGCTTTTCTCTTTTTGGTTGTTGGGTTTTTGAGGAAATCTGAAGTTTTGTCTATCTCTCTGGTTGTGTTTGATTTTTGTGATTAGGTCGAGTATTACTCCTGGAACTGTCTTGATCGTTTTGACCGGGAGATTCAAGGGTAAAAGAGTTGTTTTCTTGAAGCAGCTTGCCTCTGGGTTGCTTCTCATCACTGGTAAGAAGGAAATGTCATTATGCAGTGAATGCTCTTTTTGTTTAATGTTGTTTACTTTTGTTTCTTCGCCAAGAATTTGGGGTTTTTGGGTTTTTGAACTTTTCCCGTTGATTCGGATGTTAGAGTGTTTGATTTGAGGGTTTGTTTGATGTGCTAATCAATTTGGGTGTTATGAACAGTTTTGCTACTGATCTGAATTAGCTTAAACAATCCAATTTTAGTTTATGCCAGATTGTGGTGTTGCTCAATTCTTTTTGTCATGTGCGTTGATGATGTGATTAATGTTAAGTTAATTGGGTTTTGTAGTTTGCATTTATAGTTGGTGTGACCAAATTGCAGTCATTTTCATCATTTTATTTTAGTCGTTGTTATGTCTACCCAGTTGGAAGACTATTGAATTGAATCTGAAATGCTACGGTTGTTTCTAAACTTAATAGCTGTTGAACTGTATTTCTCCAAGGGGAACTGTGTTGATTATATTTCTAAGATGCTCATATAAAAGCTCTGACTCAGATGTTTTGTTTTTGCTCTTTTTTGGATTCTTACTGTTATGATTATTATCTGAGTTTGTCTATAACCTTAACTTTGTGAATAATTTGAACCTAATATAAGAAAAAAGAAAGAAAATGAATTGGGCTTAGATCTTGCTTTCTGAGGGCTGGAGAAGAAACTAATGCATATAGCTTGTGATGTATTGATTGCTGGTCATTATAGAATGAAAATGCAGAGCCAGTGTGACAAATAGTAAAAAGTTGGATGACTTGTACGTCTGATGGATTATTTGTTTTCTTGTTTGGCATCTATATTATGATTTTGTGTTGGTTCGTATTGGTTTTATATGGTAATTGTGTTGGCTGGTATCATTTTGTATCCATAACATGTGGTAATAAGTGTTTTTGACCTCTCTCTATATACATTTTTTAATATGGAGATGATTTCTGAGCCTTTTTTTTTTAATGGTTTTTCTCCTGACAACAGGTCCCTTCAAGGTTAATGGTGTTCCTTTGAGGAGAGTCAATCAGGCTTATGTGATTGCAACTTCAACCAAGATTGACATTTCTGCCATTAACTTGGATAAATATGATGACAAGTACTTCGCCAAGCAGGTCGAGAAAAAGAAAAAGAAGGGTGAAGGCGAGTTCTTTGATGCAGAGAAAGAGGTTTGTTTGTAATTTCACTGTGATCTTCCGCGTACATTTTTATTCTGTGTTATGGCCTTTTGTTCTCACTGTTCCACCTTAATTTCAGGCCAAGAATGTTCTCCCTCAGGAGAAGAAGGATGACCAGAAATCCATTGATGCAGAGCTCATTAAAGCAATTGAGGCTGTCGCTGACTTGAAATTCTATTTGGGTGCTAGGTTCTCGCTTAAATCCGGCGACAAACCACATGAGCTTGTTTTCTAGAAAGGATGTGTCTGGAGTATTGTTCAAAACTGCATTTGCTTTTTATGTTCTTTTCTGAATTAATTATGCTTGGCATTAGACTTTTTGAGGTATGTACTCCTATGTTGACAGAAGGCAAATTTTGTGGTAGCTTAATATACTCTCTTGAAAGCACAGTCGTAGTTTATGTAGTTTTTCTCCATGTTTGACCTCTCTTTTTAAGCTTATCATTCAAAACCAGGAGATGTTTTTATCAGAACATAATCATTCTGCCATCAAGATATAAAAGGTTAGATGGATGTGAAAGTTTAGCCCTACAAAATCTTTGAGATACTGAATTTGAGATCTCACCTGCGATGTGGAGCTCAACTCCTTCCTTTGTCGTAAGTAATTAGAGTTTAGAATTTTGGAGGTTTATGGAATTACGTACCTCTAGATACACCCGGAGCGACAACTGAAAGTGCCATGAATCCAGCAATTGGCTCCAGATTCTCTATTGTGGCTGTGCTTTCCGATAAATGGTATAAAGAATTTGCAGTTAGTTTTTACTTTTTGGAAGATATTTAGCATAGTCGCTAGGAGGCGTTGTTCCAAGTTTGATTATTTGTGATGTTTTGATCAAATTGGCCTTAGGATAAATTAAACTAGTTTGTGCTTTGAAAATTCTAGTGGTCAGACCCGAAGGTTAGAACTTGATTCTCTAACATCTATTGAGCCGCAAAAGGTTAAGATTGAGGAAGAAGAAGAAGTGTTTTGAGGAAGATCCTTTTCATTGAGGGCAACGTAAAAGATGATTTATCGCTGTAGAAATGGAGAAAAGCATATGCCGTTGTTCACAGCTTGTAAAAGCATAATTCGGAAACCGGCTCTTCTTCCTCCGGGGATCTACCAAAATACTCACCAATTTACAGTCAAGCATAACGCTTCTTCGATGATAGCAGTTCCGTTATCATCTCAGGACAGAAATTATTAATCCCGAGCATTCTTTCTCCAGTTCCTCTTTTGTTCTTTCTCCTGCCAGTAATTATTCAAACCACATAGTAGTAGTCCTTGATGCAAATCATATGAATAACTATTAGAATTTGTCGCATAGCCTTCAAATTGGTGTTTGCACTTTCAGAATCAATCAACAACAGGTTGCTTTTGAATTTTGATTGAGAGATGAGCCCCAGCAATCGGATCAATGCTCGAACAAGGCCTCAGTCCTCGCCACGAAATTAGTCCACTTCTCTTTCTATGTTCGGCTTCTTTTTCATCCTGACTTGATTATCATCTCATTCCCTCCTCCACATATTCCCATTCGTCATCGTCATTTGTTTCCATTTCGCATCCAAACTGGAAACATTCTAATGAAACACGTCAAAAGAAGTTATTTATTATGTACTCCCCAGAAAGGGCGGAAAGTGAAAATGCCACATCAAAATCATAAGTAGACTGGTAGAAGTCATTGAAGCTTTGATGATAATGATTAGAACACACCAAAGCAACCGATTACTGTCTGAATTACAATTGGCCCTAAACGGCTTTCACCTAAAGTAACCCCTGCAATTAGTTAGTTTTTATGAACAGCCAAAAATGTGTAATGTTGGGTCGAATTTACCATATTTTTTTTTGGAAATTAGTCTTTTTAACTCGTAGACTTTCTCTTTCATTGGAGATAATTTCTGAGCCTTCATTTCCGCCTTTCTGTTTTTTCCTCCGACAACAGGTCCCTTCAAGGTTAATGACGTTCCATTGATGAGAGTCAATCAGTTTTATGCGATTTCAACTTCAATTATTAGGAAATTAACCATGGTGTAATTGGCTGCCTTGACATGGCACCTGATTAAGACCACCATTGCTGCTGCCATGGGTGGTCTCCTCTTTGGTTATGATACTGGAATCTCATGTCAAAACTTTTCATTATTATTCTTGCTGTCCCAAAATGACGGCCGATTTAAATTTTCATTTTTAGTGTAAATTATAAGTACTAAAAGTGAAAATATAAATCGGACAACCATCTTGCTTAAGCTCATCTGATTAAGTTCATTATCACTAATTTCCCATTTCTTTCTACTTTATACTTGGAATTTTGGTTCACGACGAAGAAATCTAAATAACAGGAGTTGTGTATAATGTATTCCCTTCGTCCCAGAATAAAGGATATCAGTCCGGAAAACATAACCAAACTTCTCTTTATAGGTATGGAAAAAGAAAATCTGTTTGATTCTTTTCGTATTTAAAATATTTACTTTCGCAAATCATTTGTTTCTTCCATCTTGTCTTAATAGTCTATTTTTTTAAAAAAAATTATATGGACTGAGAGTTTAATAATAATGTTTGTAATGTATACACTTAATGGGAAAATTAAATTGTAGTTTATGATGATTGTTGATATAATTATTAGGAGGGATGACTTCCATGACTCCGTTCTTGAAGAAATTCTTCCCATCTGTGTACAATAGGAAGGGGTCGTTCGATCATTTATACTGCAACAACATGAAGGACCCATTCTTGAACATCTTCACTTTTTCCCTCCACCTTTCGGCCATCGTTACGTTGTTTCTCGCGTCTCGGCTGACCGAGAAATTTGGCCGGAAACTAACTATGGTTTCCGGTTCCGTCATTTTCCTGGCCGGTGATGCCTTGAATGCCGCAGCATTCCACATTAGCATGCCCATTGTTGGTCCTATTCTTCCGGGTGTTAGCGTTGGTTTTGTCAATCAGGTTATTAGTTACTACCTAGCTGATTTCCTTAATGTCTATTGGTATGAAAATGTTAGTAATTAATTACATAGTTCGCAAAAAGATTTTCCGTGACACTTTCTGTTCATGTTACACTCATCAAACACGTGCCAAACTACGATGAGTGTAAAACAAGTGTAGTGTCAGTGAAGATATGACTTAAGTAGTAATATATATACAGTTCCATTATTCAATGTTGATTTTTATCTTTTGATCAATAGACTACACAAATTATACGACTTTGAAAAGTATTAATGCCAGTCTCACTTGCCTGAAACCAAAGGAATCCCAATTGAAGACATGGCTGTCATCTGGAGAAAGCACCGGCACTGGAACAAAATTATGAAGGTAACAGACTATGAGGAGTGAAGATTTCCCCCCTGAAGTTAGCTAGCTAGGGTGATCTGGTTTTATGCTGTTCATTGCTTGTTTTAAGTAACAGGCTGAACAGTGTCCCGTCCCCCTTCCTCCTTGAAACTGCACTTTTATGTAGCAATGAAACAAGAAGCTCAATTACATGAGGTTGGCCAACGTCAGCGTCGCCTTCACCATTCGATGGGCGTTTTCAACTAACATTCTACTTACGTTTTTGGCAGTACAATAGGGAATCGAGTTTAACAAACTAATTAGATCACCCCCTATATTACGGATGTGATGGGGGAAGACATTCCTGTTGTTGATTGAGGTTGCTAAGAGCGAACTATCCATTTGCAATTGACAGTTGTGCAGGTTGAGGTCCTGTGCTGCTTTTAATCCAGATAAGCATGCCATTGCTTCAGATTGAACAGCTAGGTTTCTCTGGTTTCTTCAACAAGGAATCTGCGCCTCTACAAATGTAAAGATTTGGGGTGACTAGAAGGACTGCTTAAAGAAAGAATGCCAGAAACAACCTTTAAGCAGTAGAGAGGCCTGAAAAGTTTTCTCGTACAAAATTGTACGATGTTCAACTCATGTAGTACATTTGGGTGTTCATAATGGCTAGGATAAACATTATATAGATGAATATCATTCTCTTAATCTCAGATTCCATCTGCATTCACAGCCAGATTTGCAGGTTACAGAAGATCAAAACCCTGCTGAAAAATGTGAACTGAACAAAGCCTGAATGCTAAACAGTTTCAATGACAAAACAGCAAGCCCAATGTAGCATTAATACTTGCAAATGCTTCTGCAGTTACTATTGCATGTTGCTATACATGTTTGGACAGTAGAACTACAGTTTTCATTTCCGAGATGCTAACCAATTCATCTAAACTTTGTGTATTAAGAAGCAAGAATATCAGCTTTTACTGCAGTCAGTAAATCCGGTTATCAGACGTGGCAATAGTAGAAAGGAAAACCACCTGCGTTGCTTCGTCTGAGCAGGTTCTGGGATCTGCTCCATGGCGAAGTCACTTCTCACCATTGAAGTACTACTTTGACATCATATAATCATGATAAGCCCAAATGCGACAATCTCTACTCCCCTACTTTCTCTCAAGTCATGACTCATGAGGCAGATGTGTTGTTTCTCGCTCACTGGATCTTCAACGACTGAAGAGCCAGTTTAGCAGCAACTATAGAAATATTATTTTTAACATATTTCAAGGAATTCCCGATTCTTTCTGTGGTATCTTTGATATCCATTGCCCTTAATTTCTCCTTTTGCAAAGTTGACAGTTCCGACTGCAATGACCCTACATTCACAACATGGAAAGAAAAATTGTTGAATTTACAGAATCGTATTAGGAAAAGCTAAGCCAATGCGTGCAATGTTTTCGAAAGTTAGGGAAGAAGAATGTATGGATACAACCGTTTATGGAGTGGATTTATAGGTTGGGGTTTAGGATAACCAAAATCTAAATGCTTTAAAAGTGAAACTTCCTAATTCAGATTTGCTGTTTACTAAAGAAAAAAAGAAAAATTTTGATGCCTGATATAGTGCAAAGAAAACTTCTTAAAGATAGATACCGATACCAAGTATTTGGGAAAAGGTTACTTCTTCTAATCCATGCAAACATGATTCTGAACATCAACTGGGACATCATAATCCACAAGTATTAGTGTAACATACACAACTTAAACGAATGCTGGGGTCACTAGCAAAAAATAGTTCAGATGATAAGTTGTGCAAAACTTTGGAAGAACCAAGCTTATCCTGAACAAATAGGCCAAAAAATAAGCTCATCAAGTGTACAGGAAGACCTCAAATTTAATGCGCTAAAGTCAAATTAGCTTAAGTTTCAGACTGAACAAATAGCCTTTTACCTGAAACAGGCTGAAGGGCGGAATAAGAAATGCGCTCAGCAAGAGACGGAATGAAAGCTTCATCACAATCAACAGCCACCGTCTTTTCAGCCCATTTCAAAGCGTTTGAAGTTTGAGTCTGCAACGAGGCCTCTTCAGGAGCCTAGAATGCAAAATGAATACCATCAAGGCAAGTCAATCATAACTTTTGAAAACCTAGTCAAAATGCATCAAACATGTGACTGGACATAGGTTATTGCGCCCTAGTGATGTGATAATAAAGCAACCGCATCTGAAAATAAACTTCATCCTACCAACATTACAGTTCTAGGATCCGGCGAGGATAATTCTTACCTGCATGCAATACTCCAAATCATGACTTACAGTACAAGATGCTTCTATGTTCCCAAATTAGCCACATTGTGCAAATCTAGAATTTGAGTTCCTAAAGTAAATGTCCCCTGCAGGTTGACGAGTAAGTGGAAAAAGAATGACTGAATAACTAAATCTTCCACAGGCTGCCAAAAAAAACAGTAATTACATAGTTGGTTCATGAGCCTCTGACTTTGGAACTTCTAAAGCTCCTCACAAGAATCTTTGCTACCATGACTATTTCTCCTATCAGGTTTCCCAACTCAGTATAGCTTTTACCATAGCAAAAAAAACCATAAAACCTAACATGTCTTCTCAAAAAAAATCATTGTGGATTTGCTGGCATCGGAAATATGAAATTCGATGCAAGCTGTCAATGTATACTCTACAAACAATGAGGTTTAACAATAAATCGACAGAGAAATTGACATTTAAGTGCCCTACCAGGAATTGACTAATCTACATGTCTATATGTGAGAGAAATAGAGAGCTGACATAGAACACAACAATGGAATCAAATGAACAAATAGCTTGCCATAGTACCTTCAACTTTATTTCGAGACTGTTCAGATTATGAAGAGCTTCTTTTAATTCTGAGACTTTAGAATCCAACTCTGAGTTGTCAAGAAGTACATAATCTTTTGATGGCATGACCAATCCACGTAAAAAGGGTTGTTCCTGGGATGTATTTCAGTTCAGATGTGATAGGATGACAAAGGAATCACTCAGTTACACAAAAGCTGTAAATCAAGCCAATTAAGTAACACTTCTATTGCAACCTCAATACAGCAGTACTCATATTACGATACCAACAAGCCTTTATCCAGTTTTGTGGGGTGGCAATATGGATCGTATGCCGCTGTCACACACATATCAAACTAAAAAGAAACATTTGAATTATGAAACATAAATGAAAGAAAAAGACTACCACTCTCATAGTTGGTAACATTATATAGACACAAACAATGAGTCAGCAATTCACAAATATTGACAGGGGATTAATAAGATGCAGAACCCAGGAAAAAAGTTTTTCAATCAATACCTGTCCAAATTCTACAAGTTTGACACGACCAATGCCTCTTATAAACACCAAAGCACCGACATCCAACCGCTCAACCTGCTAGGCAGCAAAGACCTTTTTCAGAATGCATATGATATGAACTTAATATATCATCTCTATGATGGATGCGTACTTTCTCAATGGACACCAAGCAAGCATACCGCGCAGCAAATGATGCTTCTGTAAATGTTTCATTAACAGCAATGGGATGCAACACAAAATGCACGAACAAGCTGTTGTTCTTATACAAAGACTGAAACCATGGGCAAGCAAGGATCAGTAAATAAAATATTAGTTTCCAATGTAGATTCTGTGACCAGGAAAATAAAACAAGATACAGGACCAAATAGTCAAATATGTCAAATTGTATAGGCAAGCACTTTCCAATATCTAGGCAAAATCATGGATTCTAGGCCCGAAGCATTCGACGTGTCGGGAAAATTCAGGAGGTGCCATAGCAACCTCCAAAAACAGGGTTGCTGCCAAACAATACTTAAAACAAAGCGAGTTTATAACAAGAAAGATCCTCCTAGGAAGTAAAGAGAACATATTTTCCATTCAAATGTTTTAACTTTTCCATTTTACCATAAGTTTTCATATGAAAAGGTCCAACTACTTTTCACGACGGGGAAAATAAGAGATGGGACAGAAACATTGTGAGATTAAATACCTCTTCCAGTAGGGCTAGATATCTTGCTTCATACAAATGGAGTTTTTTATACTCAGATGGGACAAGTATCTGCAAAAAGATAAGAAATTAATACCAAGTATTTCTTAAAATTTCTGGATTAATCGGCCAAATGTACAGTTCATTTTGCGAGGGAATAAAGAAGTGCGGGAAGATTAAATCAACTAGATTGAAAAAAGATCAACTACAGTTCCTATGAGCATCGAAAATGAATTAGAAGAATAAAACATTGTCATTAACTTGTAATCAATCATCAAAAATGTGAAGGCTTTGCCGAGACTTGTCTCAGTCTTTCATCTTTGCACCGTCTTTGATCTCCAACCATGGACTCAAAAACCTCCAGGAGACCACCCAATTTCTCAGAATCTTCACCCAAAGCCTTCAGTGTATAAACGATGCTCTCAATGGTGGACATACAACCAGCCTTTGGCTGATGCCTCACTTCCCTGTACAAACTTACATCACCTAAGTCTAATCTCAAATGCGGCAAATGCTTCAACCACGGATTCTCATCGTACATTCTCCTGGCCTTAGCCCATGTCCCATCCAACACAATGATATTTGTTACCTCAAAATCTATAGCTTCAATCCCCACTGATTTTTCACTTGGAAAGAGAAGTACTGATCCCGGAGGAACTTCCATTTTAAACTCTTCAACTTCCTCATGACCAGCATTTCCATACAATTCCTTCTTCTGAAACTTACTCACACGGAACCCTTTTCCAGGACCATATGCAGCCAGTATGGATGACAATAACTGATCAACACCGTTCCGCTTCCCAAATCTGTCCTTTGGCATATCATGACCAGTGATAGAGCGGATGGCACCATACTTTTCAATAGTAAAACCAACATCATCATCATCAACAACTCGGCTTTCCTCATGACCCGGTTTATCATCCGGGTCAAATAACCCGACCACGAACCGGGCTCCGAAGAGAACATCCGAAACGGAAACTACATAAACATTAGCAAGGCCTAGAGAAGCTATTCTGGTAGAATTCAAGGGATGCTTTCTCTCAAGGCTGTGCTGGAGAATCGTGACGGCCACGGAGTTCTCGATACGCGGGGTCTTGAAACGGGTACAGAGGCAAACCCGGATGGGTTTAGAGCATTCGGGGCAAACGGGTCTCTTGGAAGAAGAAGAAGTCGATCCAGACACCATTTTCACAGTTGAGGAAGCTAGAGTTGAAGAGAAGCGTGATGGGTAACCAAAAAGAGGGCAAAATGGGTAGGGTTTGAGAAGTACCGATCCGATTCGGTTCCTAAAATGGACCTGCAATTGGCTCTTTTTTTTTTATATATTGACTCAGATAATAAAACCTCCCTACAAAGGCTAAAACTTTATTCACATTGGAATTGCAAAAATGAAACAACAAATTCAATAATAAAACAAAAATCAAAGAAATGAAATTACCTGTTCTTTAGGAAAGGGAAGAAGAGGAAGGTCTAACAATGGAACCGAAGAAGCAGAAACAGCAAAGCGGGTAAAACGACAACGTCTTCTTCTGTTGTTGATGTTGTAATTACTGCTGAATCCAGAGGTAGAAGAAGAAGAGGGGAATTTTGGGAGTGAAAATGAATGCAACTGAATCAGAGAGTTATTCATCATCGTCTTTTCTCTTCTTCCTCCCACAAAAGAAAGAAAGAAGAAACCGTTATCCAAATTTCCCTCCTTTTTTAGTTAACCACTGCTTTTCTTTCTTTCTTTCCTTTTTTTTTTTTTTTCCCTGTTGTTTTTCTTTTATTTTCAATTTCCTTCGAATATATGAAAATGATGTATAGGGATTTCTGAAATATGCTCTTTATTTTTCTTCTTGTTTTTTTCCATTAAATAAATTTTAAGGGAATTTGTTTGTCTTTTTTTTTTTTGGTAACAAAAGATAGATATGAACCATGAAAAGCAAAATAATTATTCATGGTTGAATGTGAGGGACATTGTTATCGTAACATTGGCCAGGAGGTGTCATCGCTACTTCCTCCAGTCCTTATTATAAGTCATTTTGAGACATTTTAATTTCGTTTTATGTTTTACCTACGATATTTTTTTAATTAGAATAAAAACTTTAAAAACATTTCATAATAATTAAGAGAACACAATGAATGTGAAAATATATTTTTAAGATTTTTTTTCTAATTAAAAAAACATCCTAATTTAAACTTAAGACGAAATCAAAATGCCTTATAATAAGAACAGGAGGAAATACTACAAAACCTTGCAAATTTTATGAGCATTGCATATCATATCAAATTATTATTATCAATCCAACCCATCCAAATTAAATTGAACCACTAGAAAAAGAAATATCTTTTCTCATTAAATCTCAATATATAGTCATATAACCAAGTTGTACTTGCATTTAATGTCCACATTTTAGCAAATTAACAATAGTCAATAATTAGTAACTACTTTTCACCAATTTACTTAATGACCTTTCTTTTCTCCATTATTTTTGAAAATATTTACTAACCTTTCTTATAATATAATTCCATTATACTGTATATTTAACCTTCTGGCCACGAAATTCGCAAAAACTACAAAGATAAATTTAATTGAACCAAACGATGGATGGGACGATGAAGAAATGCATCCCCGCGACGGTTCTACTGATGGTGGTGCTAGCGGTGGTGATGGAGGAAACCGCCGCCGATTCGACGACTAACGGGCATCAGCAAGGCAAGAAGCCGTCGGACACCAATCCGTGCGTTGAAAAATGTTACTTCTACATATATATTTTTTTCCCTATATCTTACATATCTATCTATAAACTATGTTACAACTATCTATTTTAGGCAGAATAGATAAAATATAAACTGAAAAAGGAGGTAGCATAGTACATTCTTTAAGTATTTAATGAGAAACCCCATTAAAGGATTTTTTTTAAGAAAATGGTACTATCTCACTCCGCCTCGAAATAATTTTCTAATTTAAATTTTTTTAGTACGAATTAGATTATGAAATCCAGACTGTACAATCATTTTAGGATGCAGATAGTATTATTTTGTCCCTTATTAGCGAAATCTTAGTTCCACCATTGATGATTAACAAATGGTTTCACCATAGCTGGTATGATTTTCGAATTTACTGGCCTTCCTTTATTTCAGTGCCCCTTGGCGCCATTTTAAATATGGCTTTTCAGGCTCTTATCAAATTTGTAAAACATAGGAAAAAAGAAATTACAAAAAGCAATCAATTTACGAGATGGAAATGAGGATGAAGAAATGCATTTCGGTGATGTTACTGTTGATGGTGGTGGTTGTCGCAATGACGGCGGAGGCCGCGGCTGATTCAACAATTCAGGAACAACAAACCACTAGGAAGCTATTGGCCGGAGATGCATGCACTCGTGAATGTGTCGCTGCCTGCATGGACATCAGCGGGAATATAGATTCGCTTTGTTACGATAATTGCATCAAATCATGTTCATGAAAATCGATTTTTTTTTTTAATAAGGTACGGAATATATCGTCAGATATACAATAAAGATGTAAACGTTCTTTGCAAATCTGCAATAAAGAATCTATAATTCCTACTTTTATAATTTGCTTCAATGTTTGACTTTTTTTTTTTTTTTTTTTATACTCTCTCCGTCCCAAAATTATTGTATAGTTCGAATTTTTATTTCTAGTTTAAAATTGTACTAAAAGTGAAATTTCAAAAATAATTTTGGGACAAAAGGAGTACAAGATCGTTTACACAAACAATTTGTAGTGTTCACAATATAACGTCTAGTCGTAACACCTTCCAATACAATGATCCTAAGGCTAGATTGATCCATATAGTAGATGACTATTAAATTTACAGTCCAAAACTCCCGATCATCTCTCCAGTTACGACAAAAAGAGTGCATTCCGCTTGAGATCACCATATCCCATAAAAAGAAAACCTTACCACACTACCCTAAGAGGACTTGCAAAAACCAGGCACCACCAATAGAAGACATTTTGTAGAAATATGAAATCAAACAACACAGTTGATACCTACATGGACATTGAACCCAAGACCCGCTAACTTTCCTAAAATTTTAAGCAAACCAGAAGCACAAGGAAACTTGACATTCATTGGAACAGCTAAACATGCAACATCATGGACGAATGGTATTTCCTGTTTCAAGCGACCAAGCATGGATATCGTCACAGCATTGTTATTCCAATCGGAACAAGGTTAAAACGGTCCATGTCCTACCAAACAATATAATGGCAAACACAGATTGAGAACGCTCCAAACTATGGAAATACAGAAACCTCTTATACCCAAAAATAAGATCTTTTAATTAAGTTGACACCATGGATCTTAATTTCTTTCGAGTGCATTCACATTCTACACCATGATAAAAGCTCTTGCAAAATGGGGGCCAATAGACTCTATAAAGAGCATACCACTACAGTACCAATTATTAGCTTTTCCATGATCCTCCCTCTTCACTTGATTCTAATAACCGAGTTAAAGAAAATGCACTCAGATTCATGTAAAAGTTGCATACATCATTCTAAACAATCAACCATGTAACAAAAAGGACAAAGTCCCCAAATCCAACAACATCATATCAAGTTTCCCCAAAAATCTCCATGGGAATTGCTTCATTGCTCCCTATCCTGCAACATGTCAAAAGAAACAAATAAGAAACACTTTCTCACAAAATAAAAAATCACGTGCATTCAGGATATGAAAACAAGTCAACAATTTTTCCCTTATTTTTGGAAACAGAAAATGACACAAGTGGCAGAAAAGCTAAATTAGGTGAAATAACCAGGTCATTATCAACACAAAATTCCGCTAAAACTGTTGGGACAGAATAACGTTTTTGAATTGCCAGCCAAAGCTGGCAAAAGTGAAAGATTCAAACAGAACAATAACTATTTGCACATGAAAAGTTTAAGCAACAGAAGTTTTTCACCGACTGATCAATTAAATGTGAAACTCTTTATCATTACCCCTTCAGACAAACTACTAAATAAGAAATAAGGATTTCGGAAGGTGGAATTAAAAACTACCATGTTTAAGTTCAAACAAGTAGAAAGACATTTGACGAATCATTTGCTCAAGAATAACATATGCAAAATGTGAAAAAAAATGAAATAATAAGTTCAACAACAAGTTAGTGTTCTGTCTTTTCAAATAACATGCGATTTACACTTGATTGTACACAAAAGATGGGAAGCACACAAATGTAAACGAGGCAAACTTTTATCCATTTGGCGACCGATAAAAAAGAAACGAACAAAATAGTAGATGATGCAGCAACAACGTTGATGTTTAAAGACAGGGTCCTGTTCCAACTTCGTCTATTAGTTCTACAAGACTACCTCAACTGATAGATGGTTTCGGCTACAGGTCTACAGGATTAAGGTTCTATGCTTTAAGCTTTACCAATACCTATGGGCCTCACCATTCAGTTTAGGACCAAAACTCTTGATGAAAACGCTGAAAAAATACATATAACTAGTTCAAACGAAATGTAATGGCGCAAGCAATGAGAATTCAATGGGTTAGGAACGACCAAAAGTGGAAGGTGGGGAGCTTGGAGGGGAAGAAAACAAATAAACAATGGATTCAGAGTTTCAGGCTGCCAATGACACACAAGTTAAGACACTTCATAAATGTAGTTGGCCTATAACGGAAAAATATACTTCTGATGGACTCAAATGGTCTAAAGACACTAAAGTCTACAAACGAAGATGTTCCAAGGTTCGAGCTTTGTTTAGATGAGAAAAAACCTTCCTCGGGAGCTTAAATAAACTGCAAGAAGTAGTTTTAGTATGCAAGAGTTCATTTAGTTCCTTTATTTTTAGTAGTACTACTACAAGGGGTATTTCACTAATTAAAATTGCATATGCTTCCCAGAATATAGTGTTTCCTATTTTGAGTCATTCTTTAGGTCGGTTCGTGGTATGTTGAGTAAGAAAAATAGAGGTAGGTCCTAGTTGTCCTTGCTTTTAGGTCTTTATGCCAATAAATATTCCACTCCCCTTAACGAGAATATTCAGACTTTCAATATAAATTTCCTATGATAGACTTTGTCTTCCCACCTTGTGTGATACTTTTTTGAACCCTAGGTGTGAGGCCGGAGGTGTCTAAGAGTAATTCTTAGATTGGTTCCTAGTTCCTATTGAGCTTTCTTTGCTGTTTGGTTCTAAACTACTCAATTTTCCTGTCGATTTCTTCCAGTTACACTTGAATATTCCTCTGTGATTTACTCTAAGAAGCAAACTATCTCTGAATTCTATAATTCTACCCCAGTCCTATATCAACTTCCATATCCCACTTGACTAATTCAGGGAAGAGCAAGAAGTTAGGAGAAGCAACAATACCCAATCAGAAACACTGGGTGTCGATTTTGCTCAAGAATAACATATGCAAAATGTGAAAAAAAATGAAATAATAAGTTCAACAACAAGTTAGTGTTCTGTCTTTTCAAATTACATGCGATTTACACTTGATTGTACACAAAAGATGGGAAGCACACAAATGTAAACGAGGCAAACTTTTATCCATTTGGCGACCGATAAAAAAGAAACGAACAAAATAGTAGATGATGCAGCAACAACGTTGGTGTTTAAAGACAGGGTCCTGTTCCAACTTCGTCAAGTAGTTCTACAAGACTACCTCAACTGATAGATGGTTTCGGCTACAGGTCTACAGGATTAAGGTTCTATGCTTTAAGCTTTACCAATACCTATGGGCCTCAACGTTCAGTTTAGGACCAAAACTCTTGATGAAAACGCTGGAAAAATACATATAACTAGTTCAAACGAAATGTAATGGCGCAAGCAATGAAAATTTAATGGGTTAGGAACGACCAAAAGTGGAAGGTGGGGAGCTTGGAGGGGAAGAAAACAAATAAACAATGGATTCTCAACTGAGCCATCCCACATATTGAGTGAACTACCATTTAAAAAAAAAAAAGGAAAACTGAGCTGGGAACAATGGCTGTAAATGCACCTTTGGAGCTTCAGAAACACTGGGTGTTGATTTTGCAGATCCCTCAAATTTGTGGGAGCAATCTGAGTATGCAGATCCTACTCCAAGGCCAGCAGCAAATGCTACCGATGCCCATCGCGTAACAGGACTCCCTGATACCAAATGATCCATTTCGGAGTAAGATGTTAACTTAAAAAGACGAAAAACCTTTAGTATAACAGACTCAACACACCAGAAACATAAGTTGCAGAATCAGCACCAAACAACAGATGTAAACACAAACACGCACACAAAGTTTAAGAATGATAAACAGTTCCTCCAGTACGACGTCACCATAAAGAAACAGTCTGACCTAAAAAAAAAAAATAACCTGCCCAAGAAATGAAAAAGCTCCATTTGCAGGCTTGCATCAGTAATGCACAATAACTAAACTACATTCCAGATACCTTACCTTTCTTGCAAAATCATAGCAACAAAACCCATATAAAAAAAAAAAAAAATACAACACAAAAATCGAACAACAACACAAAAATTGGAAAGTAAAGTGCATACGGAAGAGGAGAAGGCCAGTTGCGGAACCAGCAAGGGTGGAGTAGAAAACCCGACGCAGACCCAAATCCATACAGTAATCCCACTTAGCATTCACATCGTATTGAGGAGGGATTTGCACAGATGGTGGCGGTGGTGGTGGTGCAGCTACAGCTGATTCAATTTCTCCCTTTTCTTCGGCCATTATCTTCCACACAAAAAATTCACCAGCGAAAATCCCTGTTGCCAAAATGAAACAATTTCCTAAATAAATCACTCCAATTTTTTAGTTTCTGCTAATTTTTCGAACTTTCTAAATTTACACTTGCCCGAGGGTTTCGTTCGTGTCTGTATTTCGTTCGGATGAATTTCAATCGTGGAAATATTACCGATGAATTTTCGATGCCTTTCTTCCATATTTTTTTTTTTCATTTTCATTTGTTTTTTTTTGCACCAACTATTGGGCCATTTAAATATCTTGGGTCGTGACAGGTAGAGACATTTTGGGCTTAAAAAGCCCAGATGTGAAAGGATGATTTTCTCTTTTCCTTTTCTTGTTTTTAGTTTTTACTAACAGTTGGAAATGATGAGTTCATCCAGGCCTTAAACCTATCCGCCTGTCGCCGCCATCGTTCAGTTACCACCGCCACCGTTTCGATCACCGGTGTTACGCCGCCGCAATCGAATGATTCTCGAAGTATGATCTGGAGCTTCACAAAACCAAATCCGGACGCAATTTCCTACATTTCTTTTCCCCCTAGAATTTATTTGTAGCTGTAACTCGGTTGCTCTTCGCTTGTTCGGAAAAGACTTGAACTTGAGGCAAGTAAAACCCTTTCTAATTCTTCTATTTCGGCTTCAAATCTCATCCGTGTTTTTGCACCAATTGATTGAATCATTTATTAAAATGTTTCGGAATGATGTTGCAAATTTGCTTTTAAATGAGATTGGTTACTTTGGTGGCCATTATGCTTGTTTGGTTCGGATACAAATGCTTGTGAATTATCCTATCTTTTCTGTTTATGATGTGGATTTTGCCATTGTAAAATGTCACTTTTACAATATTGAACCCTTCAGCCTCGAGATGTCTTCCATTTCCAATTTTACGATACTGCACGTGTTTGCTGGTTTTTCTTGTTGAGGAAATGTTGGGAAGTTTGGTTTGCCCTTTAATTTTTTTGGATTATGAATAGAAAAAGAGAAGATAAGAAGCGGGTTGTAATGCTTGCCCCAATACAGGGACTCGGAAGTATAATCTGCCCCGTCTCTGTTTAGAGAATCTGTTCTCTTCAACTGATGCCCCAGGAACCGATTAGCAGCTAATCTGTTGGATGCATATTTTAACTTAGAACTGGCAAGAAGTTGAGTATAACTGCATTTCTATGCTGAGAAGTATTTTTATTGAATGGAAACTTCAATTGATGTTATTTGTCTGATGCCCCTTTTAATGATGTTCTTTAATTCCAGGAACATCTCTTGCGTAAGTTTAATTGAGATTGTATTTCTTGAATGTAGCTATTGTTGTCCCTTTCTTTAAGGCATGTTGATGCATGTTTGTGTCAAGAGAAATTGGGGAATAAAAGTGAGATTCTGCAAGCCAAATTTTTATGGCAGTAGCAGGGTGTCCTTTTTGGTGATTTTTTTCCCCCTGGAGCTTCCGCACTTTGGTCCATTTCAGGGCGTATTTTCTTTTTCTTTTTAATTATTGCATGCCATATGCACACAACTCAACAACTCAAACAGTCAACAATTTGTTCTTTTGATTTCAAAAGCTGTGTGCATTTGTTTAACTGACTGAGTTTTTCAAGATAATGAGTACAATCACTTCTTACAACTTCTTGCATCTACAGCGTAAAATATTTAGCACACTTTTGTTAACTACTTTTTGGAAATTCTGTTGAGCTTAACAAACTTCATCAACGTATGGGAAAGTTCATGCCGTCTAATAATTGAAGATCATAATTTAGAAACTAAATTTTATTATTTGTTTATAGAATATTGACCAGATAGTTATTTTACTTTTTGTTTTCAGGCTAAGGAATACAGAGAGTTGGTCTTCATTGAAAGAGAATAGTTGTCAAAGGATTCGAAGCCGATTTATTTGTTTGTGCTTGTGCTTGTGCAGAAGAGTAAGTAGAACAGAACATGAGAAGGAACTTCACAAAGTTGCCTTCATCCTCTTCCCCTTTCATTACCTTCGCTTCCCGGTTCTCCACGTCCTCTTCTGGTAGAGGCCGTGGCCGGGGTTTAATCTCCACCCAATTCAGTTTTGTGGACGAAAAACCCACTCCTCCCCCCTCCTCTCCATCAGAAAACAAGCCTCCCCCTTCAGGGTTTGGTCATGGACATGCAGGCGGAGGAGGAGCTGGCCGTGGCAAACCTTTTACTTTTACACCACCTTCTCCATCGCCAACAGTGTTTTCTAATCCAGGCCTTGGCCGAGGTCGAGGTTTGGGACCGGATATAGGTTCAAGTAATCTTCAACCGACCCCACCACCACCACCACCAGCAGCTCAACGCTCTGATCCTACTACGCCATCAGCCCGTGATAACCGTCACTTACATGCGTCCATTGTTCTGGGCCGCCCACCGAATTCAAATGAAACCAATCTTTCTGCCAGCATCCATTCAATTGTAAGTAATGGTGCAGGAAGAGGCAAGGTCCTGAATCCATCAGCACCTTCCGCGGGTCCCTCCATTAAACCGAAGGAGGAAAATCGCCATGTCAGGCCTCGGCAGCCCCCAGCTAGAAGAGAAAACAATGCAGCTTCCAGACCCCCGCAACAGCCCTTGAGTAAGGACGAAGCTTTCAAGAAAGCTGTTGGAATACTTTCCAAGGATGGTGGAGAGGGCCCAGCTGCAAGGGGTGGGAGAGGAGGAGGCTTCAGAGGTGGGAGAGGTAGAGAGATGTGGAGAGGTCAGGGTGGTGCAGGAGGAAGGGGAGGGGGGAAAGGTCGATCCATTGATGATTCTGATGATGATTCTGAGGATCATGATTTTGAGGAGGATGATTATGAATCAGGACTTTACCTCGGAGATGATGCTGATGTTGACAAATTGGCGAAGAGGTTTGGACCTGACGTGTGGAATCAAATAGTGGAAGGCTTTGATGAAATGGGCGACAGAGTGCTCCCGTCTCCATTCGATGATGCTTACGAGGAGGCCCTTTGCACCAACTTAAAGATAGAATGTGAACCAGAGTACCAAATGGGAAATTTTGAGAGTAATCCGGATATTGACGAGAAGCCTCAAATGTCTCTTAGAGAGGCTCTGGATAAAGTGAAGCCATTCATTATGGCATACGAGAATATTCAATCTCACGAAGAGTGGGAGGTATGATTGTTCAATCTCTTGGTATTGCAATGAACTCACTGTAACTATATGGCAATGGAAATTAATCAAATTTGGGGGTTCTGTTTACAGTTTGAACATCCTTCTTCCCATAACTGACACGACTAGAAACGTATTGCAATGAATACACTGTTAGGGAACAGTTCTCTTCAGTTAAATAGGCCATTACAACCTGGGATTTGCCTTTTCATAGTCAGAATCGTATGTTAGTTTCTAGACAGTTCTCTATAAGTATTCAGTAAATGGCCCATTAGCAGCTTAGGATTTTCCTGTTCATGGCCATATATCTATTATGGATTTATGGGTAGGCCATAGATGAATGAATAGCTAGCCTAGATTCTCTGTGTTGAAATATCAGTTTCATTATTTCAGCTCCAGATCTTTTTCTTTATATTGTAACTTGTATGATTCTTTTTTATCTATTGAGCTAATTTCCTTCTTTCATATTTTTGTTACCCCACCAATCCTGTTGCCTCACTCTCATGCCCTGTGCCTTTTTCTTTGTTCTTCCTTAATAGGAAGCTGTAGAAGAAGTAATGAAGAAAGTACCAGTTCTGAAAGATATCGTCGACTTGTATGGCGGACCTGATAGAGTAACTGCCAAGCAACAGCAACAAGAGCTGTTAAGAGTGGCTGATATGATTCCAGAAAGGGCACCTCCTCCTATAAAGCGATTTACCCAGAACGCCGTTCTCTCTTTGCAGGTTGCCTCCTTCTAAATTATGCTGGTGCATTTCAAATAAACTGCAGATTACATTTTTGTTTGATTTTATTTTGCATTTCCTTATATGTCATGAAAGGTTGTGGTTTCCTGAAGACTCGTAACCTATTACTGCTAGATGTCAAATGAGCTAGGCATGATAGCAGCCTTTCTCATTGTTTCTGCCTAAATGTGTCTTATATCTGTCCCTTTCTGCAAGCAAAGCTAGAAAAGTTAAGTTGCAAATTTATAGCTTGACTTTTTGCCTCAACCCTGATTTTTACTTGCATTATAGATTGATTATCAAATATTTCAAAGGAGCTGTATGGCTTCTAATCTTGTCACTGGTGCACAGCAATTTGATATTTCTTTATTTGCGTATTATCCATGGATATTCCTGCATGATAGCTGTAAACATGACAATGCAGATGTAAATGTCTACTCAATAGTACCCAACAGTCACTTTCTCTGACAATTTATGATGAGCCCCCTCTATATGGGGGCTTCTAATTTTATATGCTCACCCATTGATTTTTGTTTTATCAACATGTATCCATTGGAGATTGTATTTTTTACAACAAATTGGGTTATCTGACTCCTGCATCTAAGAAACGATCAGATTCAATCAGATTCATGATGTTTCAGATAACTTCTTGTACGATTCATTTCGCATCACAAAACGGAAAGTCATTTCATTTAAAGAAATCTAATCCAAACACAACCTAATGAGTTGATTGATATGTTTCCCTTTGGAGTTGGCTGTCTATAACTGTTTCCTACTTGATATTGCAGAGTAACCCAGGGTGGGGATTTGATAAGAAATGCCAACTTATGGATAAGCTTGTGCACGAACTTTCCCGGCCATACAAATGAGCCGGGGTGACCTTTTGCTGCATGATTTATTTCTAGTAACTCATGGAAAGATGGGTGAAGCTCGGAGCCGGGAGGATCATGGCTAGGAAATCTCAAATATTTCAGTGTTTAGACTACTTTTTTCAGCGCAAGGTAATTTGTACTTAGAATTTTCCTGTGCAACTTATCAGTGTTTTTAGCAGTTAGAAGTTTAAAAATGCAGCTGAATCACGAACAGGTATAGTGAATAATCCTACCAAAACAAAACTATACATTTGTTACTGTTCTGAGAATATTGAGTGATATTGAACCATATATAGATTTGATTTGGAAACAGGTGGAAGATTTGAAATGCATTACGCAATCATCTTTTCTGAGCTCCAAAGAATTAGAACTCAGCTTTAAGAATTTAGCGATAATCTTTCAGAACCCATTATTTGTAGCTATTCAGCTGTTGGTGCGCTACTAGTTGCTAGTGCTTGACTGATAAGAGAGGTTAGCCTAATTTCATCAGCATTATTTGCAACGTTTAAAATAACTCGTTTTAGCACCATTTCACCAGTATTTTTACATGTATATTTTTCTCATTCCCGGACTACTCAAATGCCCAGAAAGAATTAATTTGTCATCGACTGTAAATCTTCAAATTGGCTCAAATGTGAAGTCGTACAACTCTACAACAGTATTGGTAAATTTTATGTTAAGAAGAAAAAGAAACAGAATCAAATGAAGAGTAAACAATTGTAATCATTCCTAAAGATGGTCGTTTTTGGATCTTATTTTCCATGTATGTAAAATCTTTCAACCATTTAATTGATGTTCGGTAAGAATTGGACATAATCTTTCTGAGGAAAATTGGCGGTTTTACTGAAAGCTTTACATGTTTCGTCAATTCTATCCTCTTTTTTTTCGGTTAGTCAATATTATCCTAAACTGTTAGCCGATTTTGTCCAATTTATTATTTTCTGTCTAAATTAACGGAATTTTATTTGTTGTAATTATAAAAACACCCTAAGAGTTTTAAAAATTTATAAAAATGATCCCAAAAGTTTACAAAATTATAAAATAGTCTATTTTAAGTTTTTATTTAAAATTTTCCGTTTTTTATTTCTTTTTCCTATTATAACTATACAAATATACTATATGATCTTTTAAAAAAAATATTTATTTTTAAACTTTAATGTACAAATTTTTAATTACATATTTGTATGTCATGTTTGGTTTATATAAGCATATTAATTTTTTAATAATATGGTTTTACAATAATGATAATATTTTTTAATCCATTTTTTTCAATCTAAAGAATAAGATTATTTAACTAATACTAATTTTTCACAAAAAAATTAAACAATTCGCATTGATTAAAAAAGAATCTATTGGTATACTTTAATGTATTACAGTTTAATTCAACTGACTTTAGATTGTATTTTAAAATTTAAAAAGAAATCAAAACTAAAATATAAAATTTTTTTTAAAAGGCCAAGTACAGACAGAAAGTGAAAAGAAAACATCTATTTCGTTTCTACGTAGGCCCAACACAAGAATATAATGTCGTGGCATTTACAAAATGGTACAAAATATTTTATAAAAAATATGTATATTTATTACTGCGAAGGTTTAACATTTTGTGATAATGTTTTGAGAATTAATATATCTAACTGTAGCAAGAAGTCTTTTTTTATAAAAAAAATAATAAAAAAAATCTACTCCAGTACTGGATTCCACCTTTTTTTACATTAAAAAAAATTAGATTTCTCTAGTGAGAATTGAACCTCGAACACAGTTTTAATCATCTCATATCTTAAATCACCTAACCATCCAACCCTCTTACCTTTTAGTGGACCCCGCTTAAACGTGGGTAAAATCACTCTCCCGGTTAGAAATACTTTGGTGACAATTAATCTTATATCTACTCTCATGAAACTTAACACCCTAAATACTAGACAGTACCCTATATTTTAATTTAATAATTTTTTTAATTGGATAATACAATCTATAGCATGTTTAGTTAATTTGCAATAAATTATAATGTACTAATATATATTTTTTTAATTTATGCTAAATTTTTTTATTTTTTGTAAAAAATTAGTTTTAGTCAAAAAAATCTTATTCTTTAAATTGAAAAAGACGGATTAAAAGAATAATATCATTATTGTCTAGCCATATTATTAAAAAAATTAATATGTTTATATAAATCAATCATGAGTTACAAAATGTATATCTATAAATTTGTACTGTAGTATTTAAAAATGAATTATTTATTTAAAAGATCATATAGTATATTTTTATGGTTATGAAAAATAGTAAAAAGAAATTAAAAAAATAGGAAAATTTAAATAAAAACTGAAAAGAGAATATTTTGTAATTTTTGTAAATTTTTGGGGTTTTTTATAAATTTTTAAAACTATTAGGGTATTTTTGTAATTAAAACAAATAGAATTTCGTTAATTTAGACGGAAAATAGCAAATTGGACAAAATCGGTAACGGTTGGATAATTTAAAATAATATTGACTAACCAAAAAAGAATAGGATAGAATTGACGACGCATGTAAAGCTTTAGGTAGATCAGCCAATTTTTCCATCTTTCTGACCATATCAACTTGTCGGAACAATGACTGGCTTCTGCGGTGGTGGTTGTGGTAGACATGATATCTTACTACCTCCAATCTGTAGATGGCGAGGAGCTAAGTGTGTGTTAGGAGTTGAGATCATCCATCAAAGCATAAATAGATACCACAAATTCTTCACGATCAAAATATATCTCTTTTACTTTTCCCAAATGATGAAAGAGACATAACCTATATTCTATAGTAGATACTGAGAATGATATAGAGAGGGCGTCGTTGAACGATTTGAGTTTCAGTATCATAACCCACAATCACACCTCCCGTCATCAAAGAACATTTTACTACTTCCTCTCCTCCAGCTGAATATGCTAAACACGGACCACCACCGGGATACAATCTTAGTCCATGTGGTGCACAAGGATTTGAGTGGAAGAAATATTATTTTGATGATGGGAAACATTTGGCCGACAAAGTTGAAGGATTGAAAGAAGTTCAAATAATGTCGTTGAGTGATCATGTGACTGTCCAACTTTCAGATATTTTTTGAAGCATGAGCTTAAAGGCGTAAAATCAAACATTCAACTCTCAGATGGAACCGACATAGCTTCTGTTAAGGTGAATGCAAAATTTTATATTTCAAGACGTATGTACTTTGTCAACAGCAACTTCTTTCGTCCAATCATGATGAACTTTACCTTTTCCCTTTTGATTCATTTGCTTAATTCTTCTTCTGTTCCATTTAAGTATTCTTATTCAATACCTCCGTCCAAAAAAAAATAGTCCACATTAAGTTTTTCAAATTTGTACTAAAAATAGTACAAAACTAAAAAACTCAACGTGGACTATTTTTTTGGGACGGAGGGAGTAACAAATTACAAGTATCACTGGTTCTGACGCAAGTGAGAGTTCCAAATTATTTTGGTAACACATGAAACTTAAATTAGTAAAAGAAAAAAATATTAAGGAAGAAGTTAGGATGAAAACTATCAATCATTTGTATTGAGGGAGGATGATAAAAAGTTGCAGTTTGGTAGCCTGAATCACGGCTTTCTTTTAATCAAGAGAGGAATGGTGTTTCAGATCTCACTGATTCACGAAGAAAAGCCATGAAAGAGTTCAAATCTTTTTGTGTAATAAAACATTTGGTGATGAGTAAAAGAGGAAGTTTTCGAGATTGAGGATTTTAGGCCTTTCGGAGAATCGGAATGAATATTACATTCCCGGTCAGTGATTTGAACAATTCACCTCATGGCGAAATATTTGAGAGTTTCTCTAGAGTACCTTCTCAGCATCCTGCAATTTGGGCTTGGAGAATTCTCCTGTCTTGTGCAACTTATCAGTGTTTTTAGCAGTTAAATGTTTTGATATCCAGCTTGATTGGTTTAGGTACAGTGAATATTCCTACTGAAACAAAACTCTTAAATTTGCTATTGTTCTGAGAAAACTGACTGATATAAGCAGAGTAGTTCCGACATAGTTTTCCTAAATGTAGATCAGTGATTTTTTGTAACTTGGACCATATTGTAGAGTTGACAGAAGGTGGAAGTTGAAATGCCTTGTTCAATCTTCTTCCTGGTGTGGAGAACTTTGATCTCCCCGATTTAGGACAAACTGCTGAGCATTTTTATAACTATTATCCGTTGGGTACGAAACTCATTGATTTAGTGTGTGTATTTCCTGAAAAAAAAAAGAGTATGTGTATGTAATGTTATTATACCTTCATTTCATCATGCGGAAAATCCAATTGAAGAAACCCTTAAATCAATCATACATCAGAATCGCTACCATATAGTGAGAACGGATGTGATTGAGCATCTGGCTATCACAAGAGAGAGAAATGAGTAATGAGACCATCATAACTTTGTATCATACCAATGGTCCTCATTGCCATCAACCTAACTTTCAAGAAACCAGCTGATTTGAAACCATAATTTCCTATTGAGAAGCCAATAGATGTGAAGATGCTTATTAGTACTTTCTAGGTATTTATTAGCCAATTACAAGGGGTAAGATTTAGTAGGAAAAGTGATTCTGCTATTGTAAGGCGAATTTGATTTGTGTATGCCTTTTATTTATTGTGTTCAGTCGTCTTTAATTGTCCCAGGCCAAAACATCAGTGAATACATCATCATTGCTTATGATGTTGTAGAATGTATCAGGAAGAAGATTGGCCTCAGAGGATTAGCCGCGGTAAAGCTTGACATGAACAAAGCTTATGATCGTATTTCTTGGTCTTTTCTGCATGGGGTTTTACTCAAGGCCAATTTTCCGCCAGAGATCATCTCATTAATTCTGCACTGTGTGTCCTCAGTGTCATACTCAATCCAGTTTAATGGAGATAACTTGCAGCCTTTCTCCCCAAACAAAGGATTAAGACAAAGGTGCCCTTTATCCCCGTACTTATTTATTTTGTGCCAACAGGTGCTGTCATCGGCCATCAAGTCTGAAATCTCTCTTTTCAGGTTTGGGTATTAAAATATGTCGTCTTGCACCTCGCATTAGTCACATAATGTATGCGGATGACAGTCTCTTTTTTCTAGAATGTAAGAAAATAAAAAATTTTAGCATTAATAGGTCTTTTGAAAAACTATTCTAACTTCTCAGGTGAGTGCATCAATTTCCAGAAAACCTCTATTCTTCTCAGCTCAAATATCAGCCAGAAAATGAAGTCATTTATCCATTCAACATTGAAGATTCCGATGGGACAATTTCATAGCAAATATTTAGGCCTAAGTTTGGATTTGTCAGAAAGGAAGACAACAATCTTCTCAAAGTTCACTTCTAGAATGAGCAGTAAATTTGCTTCCTGGAAAACAAAGATGTTGACTTTATCTGGAAGGGTAACATTGGCTAAAGATACTTTGTCTTCTATGTTGGTTTACCCGATGAGAGTATTTATACTGCCTGCCAAAACGCTCCGGAAAGCAGATCAAATCATGGGGGCTTTCATCTGGAAAAGAGAGTCACAGGATAAGAAAATACATTGGCGTTCATGGAAAAAAATGGCTAGATCAATATTCCATGGTGGTCTGGGTCTTAAGGCTATCAAGGAATTTAACAAGGCCTTGTTAGCAAAACAAA